GGACAATAACCACGCCCACATCCCATATAACGGTAATTTGGAGAAATACGAAATCTTCGATAAATCCGTAAATATTGAAGCTAATTTATTCAAAATTGATGGTTGCAACATATCAGGAAATACGCTTATCATAAAATTTTGGAAAATGGGCGTGGCACCGCCCACTTATGATCACATATATGTATCTCGGTAAACGTTCTACCAATTTGTACCAAACTCGGTATGGTTATTGTGCTTGCCACATAAAAGCAAAACGTTCAAAATTATTGAAATCGGACTAAAATTACGGCTTTTCATATAACGGTAAATTTTAGAAATGCTCGAAACGTCAATATTTCGAAATTTAAGGACGCTAATTTATTCAAAATTGATACACCCGGCTTACCATGTAGCGGTAGCTTTCGGAAAGGTGAAAAGGCATATATGTAATACTTGCGCCGGGTATTTAATGTTCGGCCCCGCCCGAACTTAGACTTTCTTACTTGTTTCTATTCAAGTTGTTCAAAAGTAATGAATATCAAATCCTGGGATTAATCCCGGGATCCCGGGATTGTGACATCGCCATCCTGAAAATCCCGGGATCGGAAAAAGCCGAAAAATTAACATCCCAAACTTTCACTTAACCATTCAATACTTATTTATTTGTCCATCCACTTCCATCGTTAGTAGTGTTTTAAGGCGCCGTAAAGCAAGTCAAAAAAATACATCGATGTTTTTTTTCCATTTGATGCATCGCAACATATTTAGCATCTATTCATATCGATATATCGTATAAAAGCTGCGATATTTTTGATGCATCGAATGAAAATATTTAAAGTTTTTTTCAATTAAAAGTATACAACAAGAAAATTAAACAATCAGAGCTTCGATAAATGTTTAAGTTCTAACTCACAGTGAAATGTATTTATTGATTTAAATAGTTACAAATCCCAGTTTTTTTGTTTGTTTTGTTGTGTGAAAAAAGTTTTCGGAAGGTACTGAAGTGACGACAATAAGCGCAATATAATGTGTGCGAGCTAGCAATGAGATTCTATTTCGGTGCATTTATTTGGTAATTTATTATCATAATTTTTTCTTTCATTTGACACCCTTTTGAGAGAGAACTTATGAAGTTTTTTGATTTGAGAAAAATTAAAAAAAAACATGTCGAGAAATTCTTGCCGCTTGTGCAAATGCACACATATCGTTGCTGTACTGATGTTTTCAGTCCCTCAGGATGAGGACCTAAGCCGAAATCGGGCAGAGGTGTGCAACAAAACCAAAGGATGATGCCAGAATTGAAAAAAGCGAAAATAATAGATTCAAATTTTGCTTTGAAATAAACATCACTTTATATTGGGTCAGAAATAAAAACAACGCGTTCAGAAGATGCAATTGCGACAGTTACTGAGCTGTTGCGCCTTCTGAACGTGCCCATTATTTCACTATGTTTATAAGCTATGTGGTCGGCCGCTGTGGTGTAGTAAGCAGTGCGCGCTTCATCAGCACCTGGGTTCAAGCCCTGGTCAAAGCAACATCGCAAAAAATATAGAAAAAGGTTTTTCTTATCAGCGGTCGTCCCTAGGCAGACAATGGCAAAGCTCCGAGTGTATTTCTGCCATGAAAAAACAGCTTCTCATAAAAATACAATCGCCGTTCGGAGTCGGCGTAAAACTGTAGGTCCCTCCACTTTGTGTGACAACATCAAGGCGCACGCCGCAAGTCGGAGGAGAAGCTCGGCCAAACACTAACATATGTGTAAGCGCCAATCTATTATTATTATTTTTATTATAAGCTATGTGAAACAATTTTGGAAATTGCTGTTTAAAATCTGTCCAAATTTCCAAAGGGTTTTTAGAGTGTCAACATCATATATATCAATTAACATCATTTTGCAGATGGTTGTCTGGCACTAAACGTTTCTATTAATAAATTAGCAATTTATTAGTGCAAATAACGCATGCCCATACCTTTTGCATAATATAAATAGAATGTATATTCTAATAGTGCATAAATAGTGAAATTTCGACACCTAGAATAGTTACTAGAGCAAAGAGTTTGGAAGCATACAAAATAATTTTAATATGTACAGTATACAGTGCACAGATAAGTCGATGTATCGAAAAAAATACATCGATATATATCGGAAGGTCCAAAACAAAAAAAGTTACGATACAAACCGAATTTCTCATATCGCATATCTCTGGAAGTGGTCATGGTAGAGCTCTGCTAAATTCAAAATGAAAATTCTAGTTAAATACAGTGGTCGAAATAATTATAACCGCACCACATTTTGACAAGTTTTAACATATTATTTTTGTTGATATTTACTTTTGGTTATTTTTTTATAAAATAAATATAAATATAAACAACATGAATAAACGATCATTGTAGTCTCACAACCAATAGGGAAATTTAGCATATTTATTGCTATGTAATTTTGATAAGTTAAATTAGTTAGTTCATCGTTGATTTCCGAAGCGAAGCCAAGAATATTAATCTCTGCGTCCATGTATTTACAATAGCCCAAAAAATTCTTATTTTTAAAATAGATAGAAGCATATTTACATATGTACACAGTTAATTTACTAAACGTTTTCTTAGAAGGGAATAAGAATATTTTCTAAATTAAGGGAATTAAGCGAAGGGAAATTAAGGGAAGGAATATTTTCTAATTAAATTAATTAAATCAGACACTTTAAACGCAACTTTTGAAATATCCCGTTTTTTGGATTTGTGACGGTCCTTTAATAAATGAGCGATAAAATAAATCTGTATACGAAATCAAAAATTAAGTTCCTGTTTTATTTTCTAACACTTACAGGCTGTGAAAAATGAGGTTAATGTTCCTTGTGTGAAAAATTTCGTTGAGCTGTTGTATGTACAAACCTTGGATGCTTCGACGAAATCGAAACATCGTCTAGCTTTATTTCCGTTAGTCACATGCTTGCTCTGTGTGTCGCAAAAAACATTCTTCCTTTCAAATTGGCATTATTTCCTAGCCATGTGCCTCAGCAATTTGAAAAACCGTGATGCGAAAATGAGCCGAGTAGCACTGGAGTCGCTTTATCGTCTATTATGGGTATACATGATAAGGATAAAATGTGAATCCAATTCGGCGACTCATTCAAGACTACAAAGTATAGTAAACTCCTTATTTCCAAAGTAAGTTTGGCAATTGAAAACGATTATTAAGTAAACGATTGTGCTCAAAAACACATGTTAATTTCATCATCCACAGAGGCTCAAAAGGTGTCGTGCCCCGTGATACTCCTCTGAACATTTTTGTGAAAATCATTCAGTTCATTGCGCAGGAGCGTTTGGATTTTGCCATGCGGGAAATTGTTTATGATTTACTCTGCGTGGGACGTTCGATTAAGGTCAGTAGCGAGTTGTAAATCAAGTTGGTGTGTGTATGCAAAATCTTTTTTTCTCTTTTTGTGCTAGTTGATTTTAAATCCGGAACGTATGAGCATCGGACTACGCGCATTTCTTGTTGTGGCCGATTCCTTGCAACAAAAAGATGGCGAACCACCTATGCCACGCACTGTGCCTGTGCTACCCTCCGGCAATACATTGCGAGTGAAGAAAACATACATCAATAAAATGCTAACTGACGATACTGCCCGCAGCATTGGCATGTCGACCTATTTTCCACATGTGCGCCGTGTTTTTGTGGACATTTTGCGAGCACTGGACGTGCATTACGGTCGCCCGTTAATGATGACAAACACGCAGAATCAGAATAAAGAACCCGATGAGATGCTCTCTGGTGAGCGCAAGCCACGGATCGATCTATTTCGCACATGCGTCGCTGCAGTACCTCGTCTCATACCAGAGACGATGACCCCACAGGAGTTGGTAGACTTGCTCTCGCGGTTGACTGTGCACATGGACGAAGAGTTGCGCATCTTAACACACCAGTCGTTGCAAACTTTGGTGATTGACTTTCCGGATTGGCGTCAGGACGTCGTGCACGGGTACACCCAGTTTCTAGTGCGCGATGTCACCGACACTTATCCGCAGTTATTGGAAAATTGTACTCGAATGTTATTCGTATTTCTGAACATTTGGCGTTGTGCAATAAATGTCAATGGCAATGGAAATTCAAGCGCGAATGCGCTTAAAATCTCAATGACAACTGCCGGAGTAGTAAATTCTCCTGCTGGAGTTGGCGGTGGTGTTGGTGTCTCAACAGTTGCAACTGCCTTAAGTGGCTCTGGTGCGGGTAAAGACACTGCCACAAGCCAGCTCTCTAGCGCAAGCAATGTAAAAAGCGTAAACACAAATTCAAGTGGCACTTCCAGCATTACATCTAGCGGAATATCTAGCATTACGCAAACGACTGTCATTAATATTGGAGATGCTGCTAAGAAAAACGAGATACCGCTGGTTACCACGCTACATTTTGTAGAGGGTTTTGCTCTGGTACTGCTCTGTAACTATCGTCCATTCTTGCGAAAGCTGGCAGCTATGATTTTGAAAGAAGTGAAGAATCTTATGAAAGCACTGGGCATACCAGAGACGGAGCCACCAGTTATCGATGTAATTGATAAGTGCTGTCCACAGGTGCGTCACAATTATTACAAATATGCAATTACTATCATTACAGTAATTCAAATTTTCAGGTACTTGAGAAGTGTTTACCACATTTGCCACCTTCGGAGAAGACTGCGATCCTCAATGCGAATGCAATCGATTTGCAATGGATTGCCGAACGAACAAGTGGTATATGGATGGCGGGGTTAACAGATGGTAAAATAATAATTTTAAACATTTGCTAATTTAAAATTTAGTTTCTTTAGACACGTCGAAATCATCAACTTCGACTCTGAACTTGTCACAAGGTAGCGCAACACATCAGCAGCAACAGTTCGATCCGTGGTCGATGGTGTTGTTTGGTTTTCTGGAACGTAACCGTATTTTGCAGCAGTGTGCCTCCGCCGTTGCGCAGGCTTGGCCCATCTGCTATTCACGCGTGACAGCACTTTACAGCGTCATCGATCCCACGTAAGTTGCTTTCATTTGAATCTGTCGTTCATACCGCACTATAATTTACATTTATCTGCAGACCTGTTAGTGATAATCGCGCTTCATTACTGCGCAGCTCAGCGCCAACTAAGAAAGTGCCCACCGAAAGCCAAAAGGATCTTTATTTAAAATTATGGCGCAATCAAGTTGCTTGTGCAATGCGCCTGGTACCACAGATTCCAAGCGTTGCGGTTCGCTGTGCATCACCTGACCTAAGTTTGAGGTAAAATATCTATATAGCCAATATATGATAATACATAGTATTTATTATCTGACTAATAACATACATTTTGTTATTTTTATGCATTTCGTCTTTTTTATTATGTACCCATATGTGTTTTTCTTTATATATTTTTTGTGCATATTCATACGTAAATATAGTTATGAAGGCTACTATTAATTTGTATAGATCAAATGACATTTACACTCATAATCAAATCATAATAATCATTTCATTTGTGCACGTATTAGCAATGCCTCGCTGTAAGTTTTTTTGGCTAAAATTTAAATTGTACATTTTAAATGTATCGTATCGTTTAACTCTAGTACTGGATTTAAGAAAATTGTACCTGTCTAACCTCTTGGGAACTAAAGACGGGCTTTCACTATGTCAAATTCAGTGGCATTTGTTGTCAAATAAGTGAAAACACATTGTCAAATGGGATCATAAAGCGGTTTCTCGATTGATTTGGATTAGCATAGGTCTTTAGTCGTGTACATGCGGTGCGAAATCGGCTATCTGTCCGTTTTTGGCCCATAATATCGTTAAAGGTATGGATAAAGGAGATAAAGTTATGTCAAAATATGCCGCCAAATTTTGGCGTCAAAATAGGACATAGCGAAAATCAGTATTAAGTTAAATTACTTATATTAACAATTGCTAATTAAATGATAAGTAATGTGATATTTAAGCAGAAATTCGCTGGGTCAATCAAAACAGTTTCGTCTATAAATTTTTAATGAAGTTAAAATATTTATGTGGTAGACCCCATTGTTGAATTCATCGTACTCATAATTTTCGTCAACCCCACGAAAACGCTACTTCTTGCTTAAAAGTTCGAAGAATATTCAAATCGTTTGGACAATGCCAGATTCGCAAAATAGAACAAGTTCGTGTCACGATAGACAGTACAGTATTCACATTTGATAGAAATTGGACAATTTCTTGTTGAACTATTTACGTACTCTAGCAACCAAGTTGTTTGTTTAAGTTACGCTGACTGCCACTCTCCATAGGGAAAGAAGAAGAATTCTGCCAGAAGGGCCATTGTAATAATTGATTCTTAATCTACTGGGAAAACGTAAAGGAGAAAGTGCTCGCTCTTGACTGCGGTAGAAGCCATAAGAAAGTAAACCTTATATTCCCATTTAACAGTACTATGGGGAAAAAATTGATTTTTTTGGCATTAAGTTTAGATATGAAGATGATATCAGTCCGAAATTTGATTTAGATGTATATTAAAGGGTTTTGAGTTGACCTACCAAATTTTGTTCGGCTCGAGGCACTATATCATATAGCCGCATATACCCGATCCGGCCGACTTACTACAACTTCGTTGTTGTATTATGGAGTTCTGAAGTGTTGTTCGGTTCGAAACCCTATAGGCGCCATATGACTGATCTGGCGGGCTAGCACCAGCCTCGTTGGTTTTGATGCTATACCCTTGAAATTTGTTTCGCAAACTTTGGGATTCTGAAAAGAGTTATCTATTTGGTGAAACGCATTAATTGCATTTTAGCTGTAAAGAAACGGGGTTTTTTCAAAAAGGGGCAAAATGGGGCAAGAAAGATTAGTTATGTATAGTTAAGTAATATTTCCTCTAAATTCTTCTAAGACAACGAAAATTTCAATCAGCTGACTTTGAAAGCCTTATAATGAAAAAAGTATTCCCATCAGGATTTAATTTGAATAAGTTCTTTTACTAATTGGGATACATATTTAGATTTAGGAAACAGATTAAATTTTAAAATAAAAAACCCAAAAAAAAATTGGGATTTATGCAAAAATATGAACATTTTTCCCATAGTGCTGTGGTTGTTTTGTACAATGAAAACACATCTGAGCCATCTATATATTTAATACGCGAAGGCATTTTTTGTTCAGGATAAAAGATCTGCACCTTTCGCTCGATTTTCAAAAATGAGGTGTCAAATTAAAGCGCTTGGCTTGGAGATGTGCAAACTGGTCTTATTTTTTCTAAGGTTTTACTTTTTTGGTAAAATTGCCACCCTTTAAAAAATTCGAATTATTTAAAAATATTCAAATTATTTAAAAAACAAATCAATTATTACAAATCGGATATCAATCGAAATGGTTTTGAAAAGCTTTGTTTCTTAACTTAACTATAGGAGGGTTGGCACCTGTTTAAAAATCAAATTCAATTTGAATTAAGGGAATTGGGTAAGAGAAATATGTATCACCATATGGGAGAAATACAAAAGAGGTCTCTGAAGGTAGTAGTTTGAAAATATTTTGAAGCAGGTTGCCACCTACTTGATATGTCGAATTTAGTTAACTTATAAACAAATATCACAATGTGGATGTCAAACGAAAGAGTGTTAACAAATCTTTAGTTTGAATAGCAAGAATATTTTTGAGGTGTTGGAAGAGGGTAGCCACCTGTTTAAAAAGTTAAATTTCAATTATTTACTGAGTTAAATGAATCAGTACCAGGTTGACCGAGCTTTGCCCGGAGTGCACATACTTTTTAAAGTTTTCAAGATTTGGATAGCTTTAAAAAAATATTTTGGAATTGAAAAAAATGGGTTTCAATATCTAGTAAGTAAATTTCTTACTCTAAAATTTAGGTGGCAACCACATTCCGAAATACGTTGGAATCCATAGTACAAGTCATAAGCGTATATGTACTGTGTATACTTACAAAAAATGCTGATTGAAATTAACAAAATACAAATTTGTATTGCACAGAAGCGTGGCAACCTTGATCGAAAATATTTTCTGACCAAAGTTCTCAACAATACCTTTCATTTGATATCCATATTGCGATGTCTTAGATAGATTGCGAAATATCGAAAATAAGTGGCAACCTTACACTATTATCCTAAGGGATAACATTTTGTATATAGGGAAAGCATTGTTTAAGAAACTTCTCTTGGTACCCATGATTAGTAATATTTTACCTTTTTTTCTAAACAAAATTTTAAATAAACTTGCGATTCAAAATAGGAGGCGACCCTCTTAAAAATATTTTTGAATTAGGGATCTTTAAATTACCTTTAATTTGATACCCATATTATGATTTTATAATTAATTGTCACTAATTTCGAATAGGTGGCAACCATATACGAGTCTTCTCGGAGATTATGCCTATACAGAAATCTTAAAATCCAAAACATCTGTGTACAAAATTTCATCAAAATCGTTAGAACCGTTTCCTAGAACCCTATGGATATATATATATATATATACAAGAATTACTCGTTTAATGTTATAAGATATCATTAAAATATGGATATCAATCGAAGGGGGTTTGTAAAATCTTTATTTCTGAACTTTATTTAGCGAGGTTGCCACATGTTAATAAAAACAAGTAAGAAAGACTAAGTTCGGGCGGAGCCGATCATTAAATACCCGGCTCAAACATAAAATATATGTTGTTCCCCTTTACGAAAGCTACCGGTACTTGGTAAGCCGGGGTGTATCAATTTTGAGTAAATTAGCGTCCTTAAATTTCGAAATATTGAAGTTTCAAGCATTTCTGAAATTTACCGTTATATGAAAAGCGGCCGTAATTTTAGTCNGCAAGCACAACAACCACACCGAGTTTGGTACAAATTGGTAGAACGGTTACCGGGATACATATATGTGATCATAAGTGGGCGGTGCCACGTCCATTTTCCAAAATTTTATCATAAACGTATTTCTTGGTAAAGAATGTTGCAAGCATCAATTTTGAATGAATTAGCTTTAATATTTACTTATTATCGAATATTTTGTATTTCTAAATTACCGTTATATGAGATGTGGGCGTGGTTATTGTCCGATTTTNATCGAATATTTTGTATTTCTAAATTACCGTTTATGAGATGTGGGCGTGGTTATTGTCCGATTTTAAAAAAATTCGGCAATTTGGTATGCTGTACCGAGGCCAACAATTGTGCTAAGTTTGGAAGAAATTGGTGCAGTGGTTACCAAGATATACACATGTAGCCATAAGTGGGCGTGGCTAGGCCCATTTTCCAAAAATTTATAATGTTCTTATTTTTCGTCTGAAAATTATTGTAAATATCAATTTTGAGTGAATTATCTTCAGTAGTTACTAAAATATCGCAGTATTCGTATTTCTAAAAATTACCGTTATATGGGAAGTGGGCGTGGTTACAGCCCGATTTCGCCCATTTTCAATACCAACCTACCGTGGATAAATGGAAACCTACATACCAAATTTCGTTGAGATATCTCAATTTTTGCTCGAGTTATTGTGAACACGGACGGACGGACAGTCAGACATGGGTTAATCGACTTCTCCATTCATTCTGAGCATTTATGTATACATTTGTCTATATCTGTCTCGATTCGTTTTGGCTGTTACAACATATTATTGTTATGTGAACAAAGTTAATATACCCTTCTGCACAAGTGCGCTCGGGTATAAATATATGTATCGCCATGTCTGAGAGCCAAAGGAGAGTTAAAGAGGTTTTAGCTTGAAAATATTTTGAAGAGGGCAGCCACCCGTTTGAAAGGTCTAATTTAATTAACTAATACAAAAATTATATGAATTATAAAACTACGGGAGTCAAACGATTGAATATTAAGAAATCTTTCGTTTGAACATTTGAAAATTTTGACGAGGGTTGCCATGTGTTTAAAAGTTACATTCAAATTATTCAATAAGTTGTATGAATTATTAAAAGATAGGTATCAATCGAAATGTGTTTGAAAACTCTTTATTTCTGAACCTTATTAAGGAGGGCTGCCACGTGTTTGAACAATCAAATTCAACTTGGATCATAATTTCATTGAAATATAAGTGTATCACAATGTCAGCCAAAAGAGATTTAATAAGATTTTAGTTCGAAAATACTTTGGAAGAGGGCTGCCACCTGTTTGAAAATTCGAATTTAGTTAACTTATACACAAGTTTTATGAAATATTACGGGATGGATGTCAATCGAAAGATAGTTATAAAAGATTTACACCCAAATTCATAAAAAATAAAGAAGACTTTAACTGCTTTATAAATCGAAAATTTGTATGAA